GGGTGTTGAGAGGCAATCACTGGAGCTGAAGGTCTGAGTGAGTAAGCAGCTGGGCATGGTTGAGGCCGGCGCCCCATACCCACCTTGAGGCAGTACATACTACAAGGAGCTCACTTGGGACACTTAAGCAAGTCCCAGCTGCGTCTGGGTACAAGTGACGGGAGGAACAACCCAGCGGGTTTTCTTCCAATTGGGGAGTGTTGTACATGCTGCTATGGCGGTGTGTCTACTCGCAGGATGAGTGGCGCTGCCGAATACCGTCCCTATGGCGGTGTATTCACTCACAGGATGAGTGGCGCTGCCAAATACCGTCACTATGGCGGTGTATTCACTCACAGGATGAGTGGCGCTGCCAAATACCGTCACTATGGCGGTGTATTCACTCACAGGATGAGTGGCGCTGCCGAATACCGTCCCTATGGCGGTGTATTCACTCACAGGATGAGTGGCGCTGCCGAATACCGTCCCTATGGCGGTGTATTCACTCACAGGATGAGTGGCGCTGCCAAATACCGTCACTATGGCGGTGTATTCACTCACAGAAGTATTAGAGTGGAGAATCTGTAATCACACGTTCGACTAGCAAGGCGGAGCCCTAGAACTGAGCCCCGCATACTCGACTAGGTAAGTGTAAGGAGGTAGACACCCAGGAGATATGATTCGAGAGAAGATGCACAACGGCTCCTGCGGGAGAGGTCTCGGGCTCTAACAGAGAAGGGAGCCAGCAGGAATGTCAGGGTTATGTGTCGTGGTGTCTAATGCAGCGCTCCTCCTCCTCCTCACACCCCCCCCCCCCTCACACCTCCCCCCTCACTCACACACCCCCCCCCTCACTCACACCCCCCCCCTCACACCCCCCCCCCCCTCACACCCCCCCCCCTCACACATCCCCCTCACACATCCCCCCCTCCTCAAACCCTCCTTCCATCCCGGCCTGTTGCATCCATTACTCCCTCACCCTCACTACACCCAAAATGATGATTGCTTGTAAAATGTTGTCTCGTTCCTGTGTGTTTGTGTACTCGTCTAACCTAATTGTGTTTGCTGGGGGGGGAGGGTTAAGCTTCGGCTCTTTGGTCCCGCCTCTCAACCGGCAGTCAACTAGTGTACAGATTCCAGTCTTTTGGGCTCTATGATATCTACATTTCAAACTGTGTATGGAGTTTCCACATACACAGTTACAATTGTAGATATGATATCTACATTTGAATCTGTGTATGTTTTGATTCATCACATCACTTTCTAGTGCATTCCATTTGTTAACACTGAAAAAGTCTTCCTAATGTCTCTGTTGCTCATTTGCGATCTCAGTTTCCACCTGTGTCCCCTTGTGCGTGTACCCCTGTGATAAACTGTCTTTATCTACCATATCAATTCCTCCGAGAATCTTGTACATTGTCATCATGTCTCCCACCAACTCTTCTTTCTTCCATCGACGTGAGGTTTAGTTTCCGGAGTCTCTCCTCGTAGCTCATACCCTTCAGCTCGGTTACTAGTCTGTACTAATAAAGTATTAGCATGGTGTTTGACTAGAATCGGACTCCATGCTGGAGTTGCATACTCCAGGATTGGTCTGACATATATGATATACAAGGTTCTGAATGATTCCTTACACAAGATTCAAAAAGGCAGTTCTTATGTTAGCCAACCTAACATATATGCCGCTGATAATATCCTCTTCATGTGGGCTTCAAGGGATAACAGGTCTGACATGATATCAATCCCAGGTCTTTCTCCTTGATTTTTGAAGGATTTCATCCTCCTAATGGTACCCTGACCTGCTTCCTACACCTATCTTCATTACATTTGCTCGGGTTAAACTCTAATAGCCATTTGTTGGACCATTCCTTCAGTTTGTCCAGGTCATCTTGTATCCTCATGCTGTTTTTTCTCTTTTTTTTAATCCGCATAATTTTGTCATCATCAGCAAACTTTGAGAGGAATGAGTCTATACCCTCTGGAAGATCATGCATACTGCCAGAAACAGGATAGGTCCGAGTACAGGCCTGCGGGACGTCGCTGGTGACATCATACCATTCTGAGGTCTCGTCCCTCACAGTAACTCTTTGCTTCCTGTTGTTTAGGAACTCCCTTATCCAGTGGACAACCCTACCAGTTACTCCTGCTTGTTTCTCCAGGTTATGTACCAGCCTCGTGTGTGTGTGTGTGTGTGTGTGTGTGTGTGTGTGTGTGTGTGTGTGTGTGTGTGTGTGTACTCACCTAGTAGTACTCGCCTAGTTGTGTTTGCGGGGGTTGAGCTCTGGCTCTTTGGTCCCGCCTCTCAACCGTCAATCAACAGGTGTACAGATTCCTGAGCCTATTGGGCTCTATCATATCTACACTTGAAACTGTGTATGGAGTCAGCCTCCACCACATCACTTCCAGAACAGTGTGTGTGTGTGTGTGTGTCCTTGACCGCATTTGTATGCGTTTGCGTGCGCTCTGGCGTTGGTAAGCAATGCAAACATCAGCTAGCTTGCTTCATTCACATTAACTAGATTGCATATCAACTCTTGTGGCTTTGAGGGGAGAAAGAGAGAACTTGGAGGTCACAGTCGCCTTGAGGCCTGCAACACTTCTTAGTCTTACACCAGAGAGCCTCGTCTCGGCAGCCTTTCTTCTAAGTATTTTTCTTGATATAGTGTCACGCAGCTGTGTGTGTCGGTGCCAGCTTGACACGCACGGGTGCCAAGCTGTGCTCTCTCGTGACCTTGGCATTTACCACAAGCAGCTAGATGTCACCAGTGGCATTAGGCACTGGACGAGTTTTGCAACGGCAAGTAGAAAATATTTCTAATTTGCACATGCACTCGTGCAAAGTTAAATTGTGTTATTTGGCTTAGGAACACTAGAGAAAATAAAGAGGGTGGGAGAGGGCAAGTTGACTGTTTGTGTCCCTACTGATAGTATCAGTGGTATAAGGGGCAGTAGTGTCCCTAGCGATGGTAGTACACGTCACAACTTGACCAAAGAAGCATTCAGCAAGATTCAATACATATCGTCCCAGTATGTTGGTACACCTTCCTACCTCATTCTCTGACACAACTCACCAATTGGTCTATGTTTTACCCATCACTTAAGTGTCATGGACCAAGACTTATGAGGCTACTCATGCCCGAATTAAAGCAGGATATCCAGCTGGAGATTGAGAGGTACCTGAGCACAGGCCGACGACAATCTCAGACACACATGAGAGCTCGTGAGCCATGATCCACCGTCTGGTATAGAAGCGTCGAGGGTTCATGAGACTGTGAAGCCTCGTGTGGCGGCGGCCAAACGCCCCGGCCTCGCTATTGTTATGGAGTCGGGCTGGACCCGCGTTTATGATCTCTCTCGCTTGACTCTTTATATAAAGACCCGGCGCTCTCTCTCCTGATATCTACCTCACCTTGACTTTGCAACATTCTGCCCAGATGACGGCATGAGGATCATGGTACCTTGCACCTCCAAGGTGGAGGTGCTCTAATACAGAGTCTAATTTGCAGAACTAAAGACACGTTCCTAAGAATTAATTTGCTGAATTAAAGACACGTTCTTAAGAATTAATTTGCTGAATTAAGATACGTTGACAAGACAGTGCTTGCGAGTCATGTATAAAACAAGAAAACAAGTGGAGGTAGTGGTGGAGGTGGTAATAGTGGTGGTGGTGGTGGTGGTGAAGGTGGTGGTGGTGAAGGTAGTGGTGGAGGTGGTGGTGGGGGTGGTGGAGGTAGTGGTGGAGGTGGTGGTGGAGGTAGTGGTGGTGGTGGTGGAGGTAGTCTTGGTTGTGGAGGTGGTGGTGGAGGTAGTGGTGGAGGTGGTGGTGGAGGTGGTGGTGGTGGAGGTGGTAGTGGTGGTGGAGGTAGTGGTGGTGGTGGAGGTAGTGGTGGAGGTGGTGGTGGAGGTAGTGTTGGTTGTGGAGGTGGTGGTGGTGGTGGTGGTGGTAGTGGTGGTGGAGGTAGTGGTGGTGGTGAAGGTGGTGGTGTAGGTGGAGGTGGTGGTGGAGGTAGTGGTGGTGGTGTAGGTGGAGGTGGTGGTGGTGGTGGAGGTAGTGGTGGTGGTGGAGGTAGTGGTGGTGGTGGTGGAGGTAGTGGTGGAGATAGTGGTGGTGGAGGTGAAGGTAGTGGTGGAGGTGGTGGTGTAGGTGGTGGTGGTGGAGGTGGGGGTGGTGAAGGTAGTGGTGGAGGTGGTGGTGGTGGTGTAGGTAGTGGTGGTGGAGGTAGTGGTGGTGGTGAAGATGATGGTGTAGGTAGTGTTGGTTGTGGAGGTAGTGGTATTAGTGGTGGTGGTGAAGATGGTGATGTAGGTAGTGTTGGTTGTGGAGGTAGTGGTATTAGTGGTAGTGGAGATAGTGGTGGTTGTGGTAGAGGTAGTGGTGGAGGTGGTGGTTTTGGTGGTGGAGGTAGTGGTATTAGTGGTAGTGGAGGTAGTGGTGGAGGTGTAGGTAGAGGTAGTGGTGGTGGAGAGTGTGCAGCACCACCGCCCCACCTGGCTCAGTAAAGGTGTACTGTTGTTCACGAATCACCGAACCATATACCACGCTTCATACCCTGGCCGGTCCACACTGCCTGCTCCACCACACAGCCTGGGCCACATTGCCTGGTCCACCACACAGCCTGGTCCACCACACAGCCTGGTCCACCACACAGCCTGGTCCACCACACAGCCTGCTCCACACAGCCTGGTCCACCACACTGCCTGCTCCACCACACAGCCTGCTCCACACTGCCTGCTCCACCACACAGCCTGGGCCACATTGCCTGGTCCACCACACAGCCTGGTCCACCACACAGCCTGGTCCACCACACAGCCTGGTCCACCACACAGCCTGGTCCACCACACAGCCTGGTCCACCACACAGCCTGGTCCACCACACAGCCTGGTCCACCACACAGCCTGGTCCACCACACAGCCTGGTCCACCACACAGCCTGGGCCACCACACAGCCTGGTCCACCACACTGCCTGAGAGACCCAAGAGACGCGCATTACTGTTCATACCAACACGACACAGAAGCATACCTCGGGTTCGCCGTCCCTGGTGGTCCAGCAAGCAGTTGCATGCCCCCAAGAGCAGCACCCGCGCCGGCCGTGTCTACAGTTATGTGTGCGTGTCTCTAAGCCACCACCAGAGAGCAATTCTCGGAAAAAGAATTGTTAATACTTCTTACGTCACATTCCTGAACGTCACGAGATGTATGGTTCACATCCCAGAACATCCGCTGCTTGAGTGACTCCTGTGTGTGTGTGTGTGTGTGGTTCCTGTGTGTGTGTGGTTCCTGTGTGTGTGTGGTTCCTGTGTGTGTGTGGTTCCTGTGTGTGTGTGGTTCCTGTGTGTGTGTGTGTGGTTCCTGTGTGTGTGGCTTCTGTGTGTGTGGTTCCTGTGTGTGGTTCCTGTGTGTGTGGCTTCTGTGTGTGTGGTTCCTGTGTGTGGCTCCTGTGTGTGTGTGTGTGTGTGTGTGGCTCGTGTGTGTTTGGCTCCTATGTGTGTGTGATTCCTGTACTCACCTATTTGAGCTTGCAGGATCGAGCATTGACTCTTGGATCCCGCCTATCTATCCATTGGTTGTTTACAACAATGACTCCTGTCCCATTTCCCTATCATATCTAGTTTTAAAAGTATGAATAGAGTTTGCTTCCACAACCTGCTCCTTAAGTGCATTCCATTTTTTCCACTACCCTCACGCTAAATGAATACTTCCTAACATCTCTTTGACTCATCTGAGTTTCCAGCTTCCACCCATGTCCCTTCGTTCTGTTACTATTACGTGTGAACATTTCATCTATTTCCACTTTGTCAGTTCCGTTGAGTATTTTTTACGTTCCTATCATATCCTCCACTCTCCCTTCTTTTTTTCTAGTGTCGTAAGGTTCAGTTTCTCCAGGAGCTCTTCATATCCCATCCTTCGTAACTCTGGGACAAGTTTCGTCGCAAACTTCTGAACCTTTTCCAGTTTCCTTATGTATTTCTTCAGGTAGGGACTCCATGATGGCGCGGTGTACTCTAAGACTAGTCTCACGTAGGTAGTGTAAAGCACCCTAAAAGCCTCCTCACTTAGGTTTCTGAATGATGTTCTAACTTTTGCCAGTGTAGAATACACTGCTGTTGTTATCCAATTTATATGTGCCTCAGGAGTTAGATTAGGTGTTACGTCCACTCCCAGGTCTCTTTCGCGAATCGTCACAGGTAGGCAGTTCTCCTTCATTGTGTACTGTCCCTTTGGCCTCCTATCACCTGATCCCATTTCCATAACTTTACATTTACTCGTGTTGAACTCCAGTAGCCATTTCTCTGACCATCTCTGCAACCTGTCCAGGTCCTCCTGGAGGATCCTACAATCCTCATCTGTCACAACTCTTCGCATTAATTTTGCGTCATCCTCGAACATTGACATGTAGGATTCCACTCCTGTAAACATATCATTTACGTAAATTAGAAATAGAATTGATCCCAGCACCGATCCTTGACGCACTCCACTCGTTACTGTTCACCAGTCCGACTTCTCGCCGCCTTATCATTACTCTCTGGCTCCTTCCTGTTAGGTAGTTCCTTACCCATGCTAGGGCCTTTCCACTTACTCCTGCCTGCCTCTCAAGTTTGACTAGAAATCTCATGTGCGGTACTGTATCAAAGGCCTTTTGGCAGTCTAGAAATATGCAGTCTGCCCAACCTTCTCTGTCCTGCCTTATCCTTGTTATTTTATCATAGAATTCAAAAAGGTTTGTTTGGCATTTCCCTGTCCAGAACCCATGTTGGTGTTTGTTTACAAACCTAATGCTCTCCAGGTGTGCAACAAATCTTAGCCTAATTATTCTGTCAAGTATTTTGTAGGGGATGCTTGTCAGTGATACGGGTCTGTTAATAAGTGCTTGCTCCCTATCTCCCTTCTTAAAAATCGGCAAGACATTTGCCTTCTTCCAGCAACTGGGCAATTCTCCTGACATAAGCGACTCATTAAAGATCATTGCCAGAGGCACGCTGAGGGCCTGTGCTGCCTCTTTTAGTATCCATGGTGGTACTTTGTCTGGTCCAACTGCTTTAGTTGTATCCAGTGATGTCAACTGTTTCATTACCTCCTCTGCTGTCACCTCTATATCTGATAGTCTTCCGTCTAGGATAATCTCTTCTAACAATGGGAGCTACTCAGGCTCGGTCGTGAACACTCCATGGAAACTTGCATTCAGTATCTCGTAGATTTCCCTGTCACTTTCTGTATATGCCCCTTCTGTTTTCCTTAGTCTTGTCACTTGATCATTTACCGACATCTTCCTTCTTATATGGCTGTGTAGTAATTTAGGTTGCTTTTTTGCTTTGATTGCAGTATCATTCTCATAATTTCTTTCCCATACTCGTCTTATGTTAATGTAATCGTTCCTAGCTCTGTTATATCTAATCTTGTTGTCCTCTGTCCTTTGTCTTCTGTACTTCCTCCACTCCTTCTTGCTTCTCAGTTTTGCTTCCTGACACTGTCTATTAAACCATGGGTTATTATATTCCTTCCTGCTTTTTTCCTTTGCTGTTGGAATAAATCTCTCTTCAGCCTCCTTGCATTTCCATATGACTAGGTTCATCATATCTTGCACTGTTTTTCCTCTAATTTCTTCCTCCCACTGCACTTCTCCCAGGTAGTCCCTTATCCTTCTGTAATCCCCTCTCCTGTAATCAACTCTCCCAGACCTCTTGTCCTTTGGTCACAATTTTGAGTTCCATCATGTAGTCAAAGACTAAGACACAATAGTCACTGGCTCCTAGTGGTATTTCATGTTCCAAATTTTCGATGTCTTCTACATTCTGGGTGAAGATCAGGTCTAATAGGCTCGGCGTATCCCCTCCTTTTTCCCTTGTGTCTTCCTTCACATGTTGTATTAGGAAATTCCTGTCTATAACGTCTACTAACTTCGCTCCCCGCGTTTCCTCCCCGCCATTGGGATTCCTTGTTTCCCAATTTATCTCTCTGTGATTTAGATCCCCCATGACTAGCAGTTTCGCTTCTATGCGCTATTGTTGCTGCCCTCTGCAGTTCATAGCGCCTTGTTGCTGTTATCATACTCCTGCCTGGGCCTTCTACTGTTTGGTGGGGGAGTATAGATTATCAAGATCACCATGTTCTTCCCATCCGCGGTCAGAGTTCCATGTATGGAGCTTGTGCTTTCATTGGTATCCCGATTTTCCATATCATCAAACATCCATTTCCGCTTTATTAGAAGTGCCACTCCCCCTCCCTGTCTCTGTGTCCTTTCTTTTCTTATCACCTGGCACCCCTCTGGAAAGATTGCATCCGAGATCATGCCATTTATTTTAGTTTCCACTATTGCAACTATGTCTGGGTCTGCCTCATTAACTCTTTCTTTTATCTCTTCTGCTTTATTGGATACCCCATCAGCATTAGTGTACCAAATCTTGAGACTCGTTTTGGAAAATCTGGTGCCAGAGTTCACCCTTTCTCTGGAGGTCTGGGGGGGGGGGGGTGTCTGGAGGGCAAATGGAGGCTGGGGGGGTGGTGACAGAGTGCCCGGGGATGCTTGGGAGGCGAATGAGGTCTGGGCATCTAGAGGGGTAGGAAGGGTATAGTGGGTCTGAAAATTAGGGAGGGTCTGAATGGCATAGGGAGGTTGAGAAGTACAGTGAGGCTGAGTCAGAGAGAGGTGGAGGGGTTGGGGGGGGGAGGAGGATAGTGGGGGCAGAGGGCTGAGAGGATAGTGGGGCATGGGTGCTGAGAGTGGAAGAGAGGGTGTATTAGTCAAAGAGGGAATCAGGGATAGGTGGGGGTTTTGGGGTAAAAGAGGGGAAGAGGGAGATGGGGGAAGGTGTTAAGGGGGTCACAAGGTGAGGAGGTTATATGGGAGGTGGAGGTGCAGAGGAGGGGTGAGGGGAAGAGGGGGGACAGTGGGAGCTGGGATGGAGCAGGTGGAATTGAAAGCACTGGGGTAGAAAGGGACAGGGGAGTTGGAGGGGGTAGTAGGGGAGAAGGGGTGTGAAGGTGGGTTTGGGGAGGGTATGGCTTGCCCCAATATGGTCATTGAAAGGTGCGATGTAGCAGGTTGAGCTGAGTGCCAGTGTGGAAGGGGCAGGGGGGAGTTGTTGGGGATCGAAGCAGGGGAGAGGTATAGGAGGGCAGAGTTGGGGAGGGTGTGACCTGGGAGGTGAAGCTACTTGCCAGGCTAGGGTTACGGTGTCGTGCAGGCCATTTCGTCTTTTGGGCAATTTGTTAATCATTCGTCATATACCTCTCAGTTTACACATTATAATGGGTGTGTGGTTTCTGTGTGTGTGGCTCCTGTGTGTGTGGCTCCTGTATGTGTGTCTCTGTGTGTGTGTGGCTCCTGTATGTATGTGTGTGTGGCTCCTGTGTGTGTGTGTGTGTGGCTCCTGTGCAGCCGACAACTTCCGATACTGTACGCAGGAAATCTGGAGACATTTGTGACTCGCCGTAACTTTTCTGTGATTCACGGCGGCAGTGAGCGCGTCCTGACACTGTGACTCAGCCTCCACGTCCGGTAACCTTTGTTGGGCCCAACGCCTCTTTTGTTTGGTGTTTTTTTTTTTACACGTGATCAAGCAACTTGTGGTAACAGACTCGAGTGCTTTCCCTCTGCCGTTGTTCATGGTGAACCTCTCTGTTGTGGAGGTGGCCAACGGGTCTACCTCACTGTTGTGGAGGCCAACGGGTCTACCTCACTGTTGTGGAGGTGGCCAACGGGTCTACCTCATTGTTGTGAAGGAGGCCAACGGGTCTACCTTACTGTTGTGGTGGCCAACGGGTCTACCTTACTGTTGTGGAGGCCAACGGGTCTACCTCACTGTTGTGGAGGAGACCAACGGGTCTACCTTACTGTTGTGGAAGGTGGCCAACGGGTCTACCTTACTGTTGTGAAGGAGGCCAACGGCTCTACCTCACTGTTGTAAAGCAGACCAACGGGTCTACCTCTGTTGTGAAGGAGACCAACGGGTCTACCTTACTGTTAAGCGAGACGTCTAACGTGAACAGGTGTTCTGGTATAACAAAATGTTCATGTTATCAGCCTCTTGTGTGGGGTCAAGTGCCGTGAAAGTGAAAGCAAGTGAAAGTTATCACTAACTTACTGCTCCATTTATACATACATTTTTGT